TACTATAAGGATTCTCTTTTGTAAGCACCTTTCTCTTTTTGCTTCTTACCCTCTAATCACTTCCCAACAGGCCTCCCCTCATAATCTGCTCATCATTTTCTCATCCGTGCACCCATCCATCTCTGCCTCCACCCAGCTGTCTCTCTGGGTGGCACGGAGCAGCAATAAAACATAATGTCAAGGAGGATAAAGATGTCATGTTACAGGCTTATCGCCATATCACTATTTCCACAGATGACACGGTGCTTTGTTATTAACAAGGTTGCCTGGAGCTGCCTACGCACCACGTCACCTTCCATCTAAAGACAGCTCTTAATTTTTACACTAGGGAAAATAAAAAGTCCATCTCTGCTGTTTGCGTTTATGATAAAATACTCCTTATCTGCCACTTGCTGTTTTTCCACATCTTCTACTCTTAAAATTAACATTTTTAGTTGACATTTCAAAGGGTTTTGGACTAGCAGTTGCATTTGCAGCAGATGCTTTTCACACTAATTAATGCCAGTGAAGACAACTCTGACATTCACTCAACAAGAGCAACAGAAACACAAGCTCTCTCCTTCCAACACTGACAGATAGAGGAAAGGCACTGGTGCTGTTCATCTTTCGGCTCAGCACATTTACACTCGCTACAGTTTAACTGGCTGCTCCCAAGTGGATGGAGGGATTGATGACCACGAAGAGGCAGAGAGATAGAGAAAGAATGACAGGGATGTGGAGATGGTGAGAAAATGGCAAAAAGGAAAAGGGGACATTGGGACCTATTTGCCATCTTCTCCATCATTAGGTGATAGTTGAGGCAGGTCATTAGCTGAGCCTGTCCTGTGCACTGGTCTCATGGTGCAGGATGAGGAAGACCTGCCTAAGGTGGCAGATGGCAGATTAAAGAGCCCAGTAACAGACACCATGAGGAGAATGGTAGACGACTCAGCCACTGCCCTATTTCATAATTATTCGGTTAAAAATGAAAACGTTTAGAGTTGATCAGACTATCTAAATATCTCACAATATAATCAAATTTACAAAAAAGTCCATGTGTGGAGAGGATGTAGCACAGCTCCCGCCCTTTCTGTTGGCAAATTGCTGGACATTCTCCTTGAACATGTTCATCATATATATTTATAGCCTGTAATTTTGTCATTCTGAGTGACCACACTGTAAATCTGTTATGTTAATGTACACACATCTATTGAATGTATCTCTGCCCTGAAAGAGGGATCTCTCTTCTCTTGTTCTTTCTGAAGGTTCTTCCATTTTGTTGGTGGAGTTTTTAGAAAATCCTATTTGAGAGTCTCAGGGCAGAGGGTGTGATTTTAAAGCCCCTTGATTTGTGATACTGAGCTAAATATTTGACTACCGTTCCATGAATGCTAGGAGACTTATACCGTTTTCCCACCTAAAGTACAGTGTATACATGGGTTTTTTATACCTGGCTAAACCGGCCTTTAACTGGCTTCTGATGGCTTTCCCACTGCCGACAGACCCAGATCGGCTCTCCAGCAGACAAGCTTGTTTCCCCTCTGGTACGTCATCATGTTGGTGAGAGGATCAGCCTTATTTCTTTATATTTACTTTTGTTCATTTTCCAAAGTATAGAAACTCAGTGTAGACTGAACCATGTTAGAGCGGAACAAAGACAAGTGGAATTTATGGCTGGGATGGCACAGAATTGCTGAAAATCAACGGAGGAGATGAGCTTTCATTACCTCCTTGTTGGCAATTGCTGAAGTGATGACGACACACATCATTGCATACATTCACGGGTTTAGCCAAGTTTGGCTTTCCCATTGTTTCCAAGCCGAAAGCGACCGACCTGTGTCGATTGCAGGGTCATTTGTCCCAGTAGCTGCATTCCCACTGCCGTCGAAAGCCGAGGTGTGGCGACTTTACATAGGTTTTTTGGGAGGTGATGCTAATTCTCCAGATGGGCCATTAAACCCTTGAAGAAGATGCAACATAGATGAAAGAATGGTGTAATCCGGAAAAGGGTTACAGTCTTCTGGCCGTGTCACACAGGTGTCTTCATAACTTCACCTTACATCTCATTAACATGTTTAATGTACATTATAATTTATTCAGGTTTCCCTTGCACAGTTTATCAACCTGCCAACTTTTTACCTCAGCAAAGTTTAAAGAATTTTTTGCAATATTTTTTCTAAATCTTGTGTGTTTCCATTCAGAATCAAAACCATCCTTAATGGCCAAGTATGTTTCTTTTGTGTGCATACAAACAGGGAGATGAAAATATACTTAGTGACATGTCTGGCATTTTCATGTGGCAACACAACTTACTTCAGTCAGTGACTGTCAGTTGTAGTACAGTTATCAAGCCAGAGAGTAAAATGTGTCAGAACACATAGACAATCACAGTATTTTGAAAACTTTAACCCCTTTGCCACCCTCCCGCGGAGGGTCCAGCCATGTGACGCTGAGATAAATGAGCTGAAAGCAAAATGCTATATGTCCATTAAATTTCTGTGCAAGCTGTAAGCAAATTTTTTTTTAAATTTTAGCGAAAAAGTGAGTCACTCAGTGGTTCCGTCAGCGACTTTGATGCAAATGAATCCATGCAGACATGACAAGATTACATAATTAATCAGGCAACAGTAACTCTGATACATCACAGCATTTCACTGCTGCTTCCCACCTATGATTAGCCTGATAATCACACTGAAATGTTTCACTTTATTATTCAGTAAGACATCACAGTTGTGTTGTCGATTTAGGGGCTTTGTTACTTTGACCTAAATAGTCAGGAGCAAGTGATGAACCTGTCTGTCAGTGTTTTCCTTTTCTTAGTTTCCACTTCAAGAATAAAAACTTTCTTGCAATGGTTTTATGTAGTATCCACACTGCACTCAGTTTCACTACGATCATCTCCTTTTTCCTTCCAAATAAAAACGGACTCAACAAGCCAAGGCTTTGATGTGAGCTTCTCTAAAAAAAAAAAGAGCCTATAATTAAAAGCAGTGACAGTGCTGCTCATCATGAAGAGTGCTGCGAGTTTCATATTGAACTGTTTCTGCCTGAGACAGGCAACCAGAAACCAAACATCACAAAAGATGACATGCTGCTCTAATGGAAGCACAACAGAGAGAGAAACGTGTCAGACTGAAAGCTTCTGCTCAAAAAAATGCTGATTTGTTCTTTCATCAAACTCATGAGCACAGTAACGTAAATCTATTACAAAGGTTCAAGCCCTGCTAAAATGGTGTTTCTAATTCATCTATACTGTAATGTAACATTGCAGTTTTCAGATCTTTCATCTATCACACACACTTAGTATAACATGACCATTCAACATCATCTGCATCTTGTCAAAGTCATTTTGTCAAGTTCAAGTATGGTTAAGCTATTTGACAAATAAAAAGGTTTTTATTTGGTAAAGATCTACCAAGCTTCTCTGGATGCTCCGTAGCACTGAAGACGGTGGGAAAGCACCTCACACTCCCAGCAGAGACGAGGCATTCTTAAAGCACACAGACTAAATGCATTCATATACTGATGACTAACACACAGTCACTATAACATCAAAAAAAGATGGCGGCCATGTGCAGCAGCTGGTCAAAAACACATCTAAAAAACCAACAAGTCATCCCAGAATGACAGACAGAAGCCCCTGTCTGCAGGAGGACATCGTTTTCCTCCATACTGCAAACCACTGCTGCAACATTAAACCAGTGTTATGGCGTAACATCGGTGTGTAAGGGCTGGTTATACTGTAGGCCGTTGAGCAAAGACAACTCTGTTAAAGACAAATTACTGGGTTAAATTAACTACCAGCTAGGCAGGCTTAGAAAAACATTGTTTTGGGTTAATCAATGTTTCAAACAATTAAACAAGAAAAAAAATCCCTGTAACAAACCAAATGAGAAAATATGTTTCCAAAACTCAGAAAACCCCAAAGACTCAAGCAAAAACATGAGAATACATATAAATAGCATTTCAGCCATACACTGTCATTGGCAGTTTATCTTGGTGACACCAGGCTTTGCATTTAAATGTCTGCGTCAGCTTTTTAGTGAACTTGTGGCAAACTTTATTGTCTGCAAACTGAGGCCAGCATCAGTGTGTCCTGGGTTTGCTGGCTTTACACTCCATTACCTCCAGCCTGCCATTAGACCTGTTTGGCCTCATTGCATGGCCATGCTTCCCACTCTTTTCACTCTATTTCTATGTGTTGGCCAGTGCACAACGAGTGAGCCAGTTTGCCGAGAAGCTACAGGATGCTCAGATGCAACTGAGTGAGCCTTCCTGCCAAACGCTGGCCAAGAAAAGCAAAAGCACAGGAGGGATTTAGTCAAGTGCTCATTTAAATACGAGCGAGCAACAGACTGTGGAATTTGAATGAGAATATAAAAGGAGATGGGGAGGGATGAATTTCAATTTGAGAGCATTACTGGTATTCTCCCTCTGTCTTCACTCCCTCGCCTCGCCCACCTCCCTCCCTCCCTCCCAGAGGTGAGATAATGATTCCCAACAGTGAGCAGGAGGGAGGAAGTTGGCAGCACTGTCACCACATAGCGAAGTCCAACAGTTATTATGGCAGGGCTGCTCCTCCCCTCCTATTTATCTGTGAACACACACACAAGCAAACACTTGTGTACACCCACTTACACACACACACACACACACACACACACACAGATCTAGGTTAACAAAGCATCATATCTGAACAGATCTCACCAGCACATCCACTGCAGTAGTACGCATTGCACCTCCAGAACCTCCTTATCAGACCACAACCCCCTCCCCCAGCACATATACACAGACACTTATATACATTTTGTGTGTGTGTGTGTGTGTGTGTGTGTGTGGGTGGGGGGGGCTTTACTTAATGCAGCTTCAAAGCATTACATTGAAGGAAGATACTGAAGGATGGAGAACAAAACCAGCAAGTGATGGAAAAAGAGTAAGGACGGAGAGTGAGGAGGGTGGGAGAGAGCAGACAGAGAGAGAGAGGAGGGGGCGAGGGTAGAGCCAGCGTAAAGAGGGAGGGGAGGTTTATCTTACAGCACTGGTGAGACAGAAGTTTCAGCTCTGTGCTTCACTCAGCCGGAACAGAAGCTCCAGTCACACACACATACACAGAGCTGAGACAACTCTTCTCCTTCTTCGCTTCTGTAAGGTGGGTTTCATTCTTTGTGTCTGGTGTAATAAGATGCTGACATTCAGTTGTGAAGTGAATGCTGTGTGCAAGCACTGAACTTGCTGCTCAGCTGCAGCTTAAGTTGGGAGTGTGCATCAGCGGGGGTTGTGTGGCGTCCTGAGGGGTGAATGACAACATAAACAACAAAGAGGATGAGTCCAGAACGTGCAACAGTATCATTTCTCAACACAAAGGAGATGGAAGGGTTGCTGTAATAAAAAGGATGCATTGCTTAAGTGTTGCATGCTTGTGCGAGTGCTGTTGGAAAAGCGCTATAATGTCTGTGTTCAGCAGTCGTACCGCGTCTGAGCAGCATGCATTATTTATCTGCACTGATCTCCAGAAACAGCGATACCTCAGCAGTGGCACAGGGAGGCTTGTATGTACTGCAATGTTAATATCATGTAGGCACCTCATGGGAGGAAAGCAGAGGGATAGCCTGCTTCTGTTATATGCTCAGTTGTGCAACACTTGCTTTGTCTTGCTGGCAACATCTTTCCATGGCTGAAACTGTATGCACAGATATCCTGTGGTTTATTTATCTGTCATTATCTGTGGGGGGAGATACCGGAGATCCCTGTGGCAGCAGGAGGCTGTGAAAAAGGCTGACGTGATGAGATCTATTTTATCTTTAGATGGGTGATGAGGAGGTCGACTCCTTTTGTCTGTAGATACAGCATCTTTATCCACATCAGTGTAACACAGCTTGCAGGCTACAGATTCTCCAGCTGACTGAATGTGTGCACACTGCACATTTGTGAGGGCCATATGCTTGTGTTATTTACAGCATCTGTGGGTGTTTGTGTGCCTGCATCCAGCTGCTTCTGCCCTGTTTTAGTGAAGGCAGCTCCAGATGATGAGCAAACAAAGAGACCAGCATCTTTAACAGCTTTCGACCAGTGGTGGACAAAGTACACACATTCTTTACTTAAGTAAATGTAACAATACTATACTGCAATGACACTGTTACAATTAAAAGTCCTGCATTCAAAATGTTACTTAAGTAAAAGAAAAGTAGTAGCATTAAAAAGTAAAATTAGCCATTATACAGAAGGGCACATTTCACATTAATGTGTATTAATAGATTAGAATTATTGATGCATCATTGTGTACATCACATTTAATGTTGCAGCTGGTAAAGGTGGAGCTAATGTTAACTACCTTAAACACTTATAATTTGAAGTATTTTACATAGGCTGCTGCTGGGAGGCCTGTGAATTTCCCATCTGGGGATCAATAAAGTCTGATGATTATACTGTATTTTATTTTATTAATCTGATTCCAAAAAGAAACTAGTAACAAAAATAATCAAATACATGTTGTGCAGTAAAAGTAGTATACTGTATTTTCCTCTAATGTAGTGAAGGTGAACTATGAAGTAGCAGAAAATGAAAATACTCAAAGTACGGATATTTCAAAACTTAAGTACAGTATCTGTGTAAATGTACTTAGTTGCTTTCCACCACTGGTTTGGATTTTATCTAGATCACAGTCATGTACACACACAAAAACACACTTGACAACTGCAGGTACACTATCAGTCATGCAGCTACACAATCTTTGAAACTCTGCAAAAAAATCTTCCCTGTTCCTGCAGTAAAATGGAAACAGACATGCTTCCAAAATAATCTGTGCAATGAGAAAAATATCACAACACCTTTATTCACAAAGGAAAACATCTTAGGAATGACAAACTTTTCAGAATGGTAAATGTTTGATGATCATGTTTTGGTTGATTTGATTTTGATTTTGATTTGATTTATTCTTTCAAGCATGTAAAGACAGTTGATATGTCAACACACATAATTTTACACATATCTAACAAATGCTAATCCAATATCAATTTGCTTATACCTAGTACATGCTTGAATGGAGTAGGAAGAAGTCAGACTTATCCAGTCCTACCCCATGACATCATCTTACCATCATTGGTTTACAAGCAGTATCTCTACATAAATAATTCTCTTCTACACCACACAAGTAATATACTAAAAAAATATAACAGTGTTAACATTCTTACATAATTACATACTTAGATAATTGTCTTCTATACCACACAAGTAATATACTAAAAAATTATAACAGAGTGTTAATAATCATACACCACACCCACAATGTTCCATCTAATTAATCATTAAGCCTGTTCTTGCATATATCTTGATTGACACATACCTTTATATTTATGTTTAAACTCATCAATTCTATTACTATTTTTTATGTCCACAC